AACTAAAGGGTAAAACGATAGAAAATAATGAAGAACAAATGACAACGATTCAAAGGTTTTTATTTTTAACATTTAGCACNATTTAAGATGGCGGATGCAAGATGACGGATGCAAGATGACGGATCCAAGATGACGAATCTAAGATGACGGATTCAAGATGGCGGATCCAAGATGGCGGATCCAAGATGACGGATTTAAGATGGCGGATCCAAGATGGCGGATCCAAGATGGTGGATCTAAGATGGCGGATCCAAGATGGCGGATCTAAGATAACGGATCCAAGATGGCGGATCTAAGATGACGGATTTAAGATGGCGGATCCAAGATGGGGGATTTAAGATGGCGGATCCAAGATTGGGGATTTAAGATGACGGATCCAAGATGGCGAATCTAAGATGACGGATCCAAGATGGCGGATCTAAGATGGCGGATCCAAAATGACGGATCCAAGATGGCGAATTTAAGATGACGGATTTAACTCGTCAGTGATTGTTAAAAACATGAATATCGTATGTCATGACGGATCCAAGATGGCGAATTTAAGATGACGGATTTAACTCGTCAGTGATTGTTAAAAACATGAATATCGTATGTCCAGGATACTTCAAAACGTAAAGATTTTTGTTTTCTGAATGCTAATTGAATTAGTAACACTTCTTTTAATGAAATCTGTTTTTACAATGGGACAGATTTTGTGTATTGTGGGGGCCACATAAATAAATGTCAATATTAGAACCTAGTCTCTAAAATTGTGTTATTTTTCATCCAAGGAATGCGAGATATAACACCTTGCAATAATACTATTCGATAATTTGAGTGACATTTTGTATCTCGAGTTCTACRGCTTTGCTACCGATGTGATGTTCCGAGCAGCTACTATTTTCTTCTATTTTTCAATTACAAATTAACTGGCTGTATTGTTAAATGATCTTATCATATAATTATCTATAAAGTACCTATATTTCTCCATTACGTAAAGTTGTTATTTTCAAAAGTGAAAATAACACATTCGAGGTTTCTCGGTATAGTGGAAGTGAGAAAAAAGCTATTTTACGACATAATTTACTTTCATATGTAACTATATGATAAACAGAATATTACATGGTTGCTTGGAGATACGAATATTATTTTCTCGTCTTGAAAATCCTCACTCGTAAGAGATCTTTTCAACACTCAAAGATAAAATCCGTATCTCTACGCGCACATGTAATATTCTCTATTTATATAATAGTACAATAGACTTTCTTTTCTTGTTGTGACAATTAATAGCGAAGATGAAGTTATTTCGACTCATTTAATTATTATTTTTCGGATCTAAGCATTTTCACTTGCATCAACTATACTATTCATTCAGGTAGGGTACAAACACTAAAACTCTGCAACATAAATACCACTAAATACTGTTAAATTATGCTAATTCTATTGTTTTTTACTGTGTAATTAACACTATTTTGTAGTAAATAGTGGAAAGTGTTGCACACGTTTAATGTTTGCACTCTATACTCACCAAATTATAAATTAATCAAACATACTCTAAAACAATGAATATATTTATAAACGTTTATCCTCAATAACTCTCTTGTTTTTAGACAAAAATAGCGCAACATTTTACACAATTGAATACTCACTAGAATACAATGAAAAGCAAAACAACATAATTATCTTTTTTAATCTATTGCGTTTGGTTTGTACGAATATAATTTCAGTTMCAAAAAGCTTCTATAACGAACTGCTAGGAACAAAAAAACGATTATTTTTGGTTTTTACTTAATTGACAAAGTAAACTCCCGAGATGTATCGTGCTAATAAGCTAGCGCAATGACAAATACTATATTGCGAAGTAATTTGGTTTAAATATACAAATTATTGTTTTGATTTTTTTGGGGGAAATGGCTTATGTATCTTATTGAATAATCTTTGAAAATTCTTGTTCAGCCCATGTCTTCATATAGTGGGAATTCTTTTAATATATATGCTTGCATTTATGTTGTCTTTTATTTTGAAGTATAAATTGGTAGCAAACAAAAAATATTAGAGCTAATTGTTTACGGTAAGAAAACAACGGGGCGCGCGCGCGTCCATTTTCCCGCCCTTTTTATCTATCGTAAATATTTAACACATCCCCTGTGTGGGACATTCTCATTGGACCGGTGCCTCATTATGCAAAACATTTTCTCRTCCAATCAAATTGTTCCATGYTTATTTATGTGTTTATTGATGACCTGAGACTGTATAAAAATCATGGATTATTGTGTTGTTGTATGTATAATGTCATGTTTTTATTAGGACCGAGSTTAATGATAATAACGCCCATGTTTCGCTACGTTGACGTGGTTGTTAAGGTGCTTGTMTTTCACAGCAAGCTACTCAACAATTTACTTTCATCTTTGAGATTTTGTTTTATGATAACGACTTAAACAACGAGACAACACTGTTCATGGTTATCTATTAAATCTCTCGTCGAAATACAATGTTTTATGGAGAAAAGCGACCTGAATTCCTTTACTCTCAAATGTTTTTTGYTAATTTGTAGGAGTTTGAACTGCCTCTTACCAAAACCACTTCCAATTTCACGAGTAATATAAAGCATTTATTGTAAAAGTATGGAATCTTGTTTTGAAATTTTGGTTTTTTGAACTTTTAAGCTATTAAAGAATACAACGTTTTCCTCCGGGAAGACAACCCTGTTTTTTAAGTACTTGATATGTTAGTTCCCATGTTTTGTGACGAAAGAAAAAATGAATTTACTGTCATAACTTCAATTATTACAGAATAAAAATATTGTTCATCCASTTATTTAACAGTTCTTCTGATATTGCAGCATTTTTAAGCTCAAGAATAGGAAAGTACGGCCTTTAATTCAACATACTTTGGGCTCTTAAACTCCGTATTTTCGACCTTCTTTGCTTACAGATAGTTTACAAGCTTATAAATTAATTTATGACCTCAAAAATGCGATTGTACCTCTCCTAAACAGAATGATTGCGATCAATAGAAATTTTTATTTTGAAAAGTTTCAAAGGGAAAGACATTTTGATTTATTATTATTTTAACTAGCCAAAGAAATTATACCTCAAAGGTTGTTTATACTATTTCTTTAAATATACAACACTTCCATTCGCTATTTATCACTAAATATAGATGAATCTACGCACTGAGTATCTAGATTGTAATTCTCAATACTCTTTATAGGAAATTTACTTTAGACTACTTAGGAGAATTACCCTTAGGATCACTCTCGTGATTTCATTGACTCAAACAGGTGAAAAAAAATTGCCTTCTTTGATTGGTTAACTTTTGGCGCCAAAGGGCGTCACTTGTCAATCATTTATTAGCGTGCTTGTGGGAACTAAATTTGACCAATGAGATCTCAAGAATGTATTTAAGGTATATAATCGATAAAGTCGAAATAGAATTAGAGACTTCAACATCGCAAACGAGAAATAATACAAATTGTAGAATCTGATAAAAAGGTATAAAAATGTATTATAATCTGGCCAAAGATTTGCAAAACTTTAGTCGGGCTAGTTATAAGTCATTTGTAAACCGCAATACTCTGAGGTTAATTATTCCTCTGAGGGGAGAGACGTAGAAAAAACTTAAACGAAAAACAATGTATTGTGATCGAGAACTCGACGAAAACATCTGTTCTTGCACTCAAATCCCCGCATCAAATTCCCTTACTAAAGAAAAGTCAATCTTGGTTTAAAAACAGTCGAAAAGTAGGCTGAAATTATAGCGAAATTGTAAGAAAGTTGTGTTGTTTCACAAGCTATAGGGATTTGTAACTTTGGGATAGATTCTCWGGCCGTGTTTTATGTTCTGTGGTAGTTTTAAATATTTAAACACTTTGCATTATAATCAGAACGAACTTTCTATGTTCAATCTACTCGTCGCATTCAGTGAAATGCGCTTTGTAGAGGTTTTTAATCTCAAAGTCTCGATTCACATTGAAAATATTCTACATTCTCAAACATATTTCTGATTTTGTGAGTTATTTTGAGTTTGGTTGAGCTTCGAGGTGTTAGAGCTTTGTTCCAATGGTTAAAATTGTAAATTTGTCTTAAAATAACAAGCTTTCTCGAAGACTAAAAGCTTTTAAAATTCAGCTTTTGAAGTTCTGTAAGAACTAAGAAGTCGATGAGGTCTCACGATATAGGTTTTCGCGCGCGTCCTGCTTTCGGTACTTAAGCTCGTGATTCTCAGGCAGAAATGAGAAAAGCATTCAAAGAAAAAAAGAGGAAAAAAAAATAGGAATTTCATTTTTCCCTAGCGCAGAACAATGGATTTTTCTTTGTTTTCGAGTTATCTTAAAAAATGAATGAGATGCCTGGACCTCGAAAAACAATAAAATGAACTATAATATGAATCCTGAGTGAAAGCGTTATATTAAGTGAAGAAAAAAGTTATTTGGTATTTATTACCATTCCAGTTTTTATTCCARTGTCATCTTGTTTTAAGTGAAAAGATTTGTCGAAATTTTGAGTATATGTGTGGCAGGTGCGAGTCGGATAACTTAACAACGGCGAGATAGCAGATGGCGACATGAAAATCCAACTTCAAAATACTTACACAATTGAAGCTAAATCCGGTTTAAAATACAGCAAATTTATCAAATCACATGCCATATCTCAGGAAAATAGACTTATCTTAAAAAGTAACGCATTTTCCGTGAAGATTACAAATTTTTAGCCGAAGTTTTCCTACACTCCACAGCGTGATATTTTTAAGGCTTATAAGAAAACCAATGYTAGTCACAAGAAAGTTGGGAACTCGCTTCCAAGGAACTCTCCAGGCCCTTAGGAATTTTCCCCTATSAGGATTAACTACCAATGRCCATTTTAAATAGTRAATGTGTATCTGGTATGGTTGTGTAAAAGATATATCTAGCTGTTCTACGGTAGGRTTAGGTCCAGAGTTTAGTCCCTGTGCAACACTCTTGACTATTATGATTCGTGCAGAACTCATTATATATTAATCGAAGCTTCAGCGGTTGGCGAACGCGCTTTGAATAAATTGAGGCAAACTTGTGCGCGGCTCCACATTTGTTCAATTAGGGCCTAAAGGGAAGACCCTGCGCTTGTACACTGACCAGTCGGTGCTGTCTTGGCGCGTTTATCGGGGTAAACTTGACGTCCGAGGTCTCATATTTGTGTTGATTTGACAAATAAGGCTAAATCGCGCAGGCGTGTTTGTTCGTGGCTGATATTGATTCTACCCTTAGAAATAGCCCGTTACAGCTAGGACTGATTTGATGTTGACAACAGCGGCCTCCGTACCGTCGTCGGTTAGTAATGACCCGCTTAGAGGAACGGGCCTCTATCGTTATAAGCAGATCATYGAACAGATGGATGGAATAGGACAGACTGCACCGGCGGCCTCCATGAATGACCCTATCGTTATCAACGTTTCTGGCAAGAGATTTGAAACCTATGAGGAGACATTGGCACGATTTCCCGACACACTCCTGGGCAGTCCTAATAGGCGAGCAAAATTTTTCAACCCGAAGAAGGGCGAATACTTTTTCGATCGCCATCGTTCGGCTTTTGATGCAGTTCTGTATTACTACCAAGCCGGGGGAACACTGATACGTCCAGAGCACGTTCCCCCACATGTATTCGTCAACGAGGCCATATTCTATGATTTGCCAGAGGAGGCACTTAACCAGGTTCAACAAGAGGCCGGGATTGTTGACGAGCCAGAAGAAAAGGTTTTGCCTAAAAACTATTACATAAACGTGATGTGGCAGACGCTGGAGTACCCRGAGTATTCTTTACTTGCAAAGTGTCTGGCTATCTTCTCGGTCGTGATCATTGTRTTCTCGCTCATCATATTTTGCGTCGAAACATTGCCTCAGTTCGCACCGCCGCCGAAGCCCTCGAACGCCTCGGCCGATTGGGAAGCCAATGACCCTTATGCGAAAACATGGTTCCAGTTGAATACGTTTGTCATAGCTTGGTTTACAGGGGAATACATTTTACGATTCCTGTGCGCTCCAGAAAAAATTAAATTTCTAATTTCATCTTTAAATATTATCGATTTACTTTCCATTTTACCGTACTATGTACAGTTGGCGATTGACGACGGAGGAAGTTCTTCCATCTCAGTTCTTCGCGTGGTGAGAGTTGTCCGTGTGTTTAGGGTTTTTAAGCTGTCTCGACACTCCCGCGGTCTCCAGATTCTTGGAAATACACTAAGAGCTAGCTTAAATGAATTACTCATGCTAATGTTTTTTCTTGGAATTGGAGTTACTATATTCGCGAGTTGTGTGTACTATGCTGAGGGAGGCATAGACAGTGACTTTGCTTCGATTCCTCACTCATTCTGGTGGGCTGTCGTAACCATGACAACGGTCGGCTACGGAGACATCAGTCCGACAACTTTTTGGGGGAAAATTGTAGGAGCTTTGTGCGCCATTTCTGGTAAGTACAAAATTACTTCATTCTCTAACGATTTCTTTGCTTTGCGTTTATTTGCGCCGTGTCGCAGCCACCAGTACGCGATCTAACGTTATGTAAACACGTTTTCTGTGTTATCGTTGGCTGTTGAGTGAAAGAATGTCGAACGAATAAAAGGAAAACGCTGGCGTTCGAGCGTACCGTACTTGCGTAAAGTCAACTGATTTTCTGGTTTATATGCATGTGTGTGTTGCGTTTTGGAAGTGTTTGCTCGCACTTCAAAWTTTTTTTAACTTAAAAGTCAGCGACGGAGCTACAAAGGCTGGCTATCGATATGAATTATCATTTTCTGTGGCTATTCTTGAGTTTAAAATGCTGTATTGTGYTAGGGTTTGTGTATATTCTGTTTTGCCGGTACTACCAGTAGCATCACTAGATATGTAAACAACGATTTCAAGCATGTCACTCCCCAAAACTARTCTCTCTTACGACTTTCCTTCGCCGTAAAATTATAGTAAATGTGGGATTCAGAACAACAGAAATCGTACATATTAACAATAGACTCTTATCTTTGTTCAAACTTGAATTTATTATTTGATGAATTACAGTGTATGCCAAAACTTAAACAGCGAAAGCAACATACGCTATATTAAAGACACTCCTTGACTGCAACCGAAAAAGAGAGCTTTTTGGACGTTTTCTTCTACCCTTTATCGTTATCTATCATCGAATTGACAATATATCGACGACATATAAGAAAAAATTTCCGTGTACGACTCTTAAATATTTAAATTTTAACGATTTAAGAAGGACAGAGACTTTACATTCGAATTGTTTCTGCACACTGGGTGAGCTTAGCAACGTATTTTTTGTGTTTAAACTTTTCAGCAAACTTTGTTGTGCATAGGCATGTAGACGAATTTTCGAGACGTCGAGATTTCAGTGATGAACCGAGTTTTTCAGTTAGAAATTCAAGCTAAATTCAATTAGCAAAAGAATTGATTTGACTCGAGACCAGAAATGTTGAATTATTAATGATTTGGAAAGAAATAAATTATCCTCGGTATGAACGCGATAAGAATTGTACAAAATTAACCAAAACTTCGACCTTTTCATTCATAATTATTTYATTTTGGGGTTTTGGGTTTGTAATCCTTTGAAAATGTACAGGAAAGCTGGCTTAGCTTCCATAAATGTCAAAAAAAGTCCAAAGTTACTTTGAAGTAAAATTGTAAATCATTTATTAAGAAGACACGTTTCAAACAACCTACAAAACAACTTTGTTCCCCACATCAATATATTACATTTATATCAGATAAAACCCACTTTATTTAGAAAAGACTTCAAGGTTGCATTTTGATGTACTTAGTGGAGATTTCTTGCGAAAAACAAGGAATTTTGGAGTAAGGTTTTTGAATGAAACGAAAAATGCAAATTGCAAATCTTTCGCAGTGGGATGAAAGCAAACGTATTTAATGAGACGCTGCGGGGATGAGAGATTAAGAATAGGAATTTGAACAAAACTGTAGTCCCGTATTTCGCATATACCAAAGGAATCGAAACTTGGCCTTCTCTATAGTCATTTGAACTCAAGTCATTGGCTCAAGCTTGTCAAATCACAGTGACACAAGGCCTGAATTGAAGGCAAACTTACACAGAACAAAGCTTTTATTCGTGTTAAAATAGCTTCGCTTTTATAGGAGATTTTCCGAGAATTGTACCAACATTTTCTGTTTACTTATGTTACTTTTGAAAAGTGTTTGTTTACTTGAGAAAAATCAGGTTTCAAGTCTTTGTGATTGTATGCATTATAGCGTTGGTTAGCTTTTACGATTTTAGAATGCATTGCCATCAAAAAAAACTGAAACAAAAACATTGATTTTACACTAAAAACTCGATATTTCACTAATATTTCCAAATTTAGCTTAATAAAATATTGAAATTCCAGTTTGAGATCTAAGCAAGTCAAATGAATAACTAATACTTCAATAAACGAAATCTTTTTTTTCTCTAATTGCAAAAAAATCTTGGTCCATTTTGCAACTTCTTTATTTCAATATTTTCTATAGCCATGTCTCATCGAATTTGCATCAATATTTCCAAACATGTTTAGAAATTATACTTCAAAGATTGACAATCCTACAATATGTCTATATATTGATATTTTAAACGCTTTTGTTCAAAATCAAAGAGCTTTTTCACTTTCTGCGATTGATTATTTCGAAGGCTTGCTTGAAAATATTCCTATTGCCTTCGAAAAACAGCCTCAATACGCAACTGAAGTTCATAAAAACTTAATGAACTCAAATTCAAGTCCAGGTGCCTCAAGAGACGCGACAAAAATATGAAATCATTTCGAATCCCCCACAAAAGATGCCTTGAAAAAACTGTAACTCGTGGTTTTCGCCGCGAAAGCCGCGTATTTTTGTCAAGGAGCAAGGTAGAATAAAACCCCCGGCTTTTATTTATCGCTAGGASGATAAATCCAGTGGTTTAAGCCAAATAATTGTGGTCCAAAGCATGGAGAAGTTAAATTCTTATAAAAAGCCACGAAAAATACCGTTCAAAATCGTCTCAAATCAAATTGATATGTATAATGCGGCCTCACTGATTTTTCTCAAGTGGTTTGACTCAGATTAATCGAGTTTTCTTGTCGAAAAAGATTTCCAATATCTTTACATGTACAAACTCCAGACTTAAAACTTACTTTCATTAACACGTACTTAGAATGTGGCTCRTGTCATGGCGTTTAAATTAAAGTCATTTTTGCTGATTTTTTTTTAGCAAGAACGAATACAGTTTTGTCAATATTTATCTTATGAATTTCTGAGCTAATCCATCAAATATTCCAACTTTTATCGCGTCCTTCTAGCTATAATTTTGTCTCTTAAATAACTTCTCCCTCAAGTAATATATTTAACTTAATTCTTAATCCAAGCTCTATACTGCCTAAAATACATGAGCTGAAACTGAACTTSGCGTTGAATTATTAAGCTCAAAATGTACACAATCTTTGACCGGCCGAATTTGATTTCCATTCCAACAGCTTTATGTCATTATTTTAAACTAGATTTTGGCTTGCTCCAAACCGCAACTTAACCACTAAATCTAAGAAAATTAGAACTCCGTCATTTTTACTGTGACCTTTTTCTTAATTGAACTACAAAGATACTTATTTTGGTATGAATTTTTAGCGTGTAGAAAACAGGTGAAATATACAAATTCTTATTCAACTCTCCACAAAACTAGTCTCAAACGCATGCAAAAAAAAAAAAAACGAAAAAAAGAAGATAATGTTTTCACTTTAACCGCTGCCAACGACAGTGATGTTTGACTGATGAACTCGGAAAACAATGAATTCTATCTAGGCATTAAAAATTCTCAACTTAACAGTTTATTTTCCCTCGTTGTATATTACATTGAAATACTGCGTTAAAAGATTCACTCTATATTTTATTCAGTTGTTAGATAAGGCTCATTGAATCGTACAAATGAATAATAATACCAAAGCTAGGCTCCAAGCGGGGTTAAAAATTTGATTTATATTCATGAACCTGCAACGCGCAAAAAACTGTTATTTAGTATCAAGTATAGGGTATGAATTATGAAATTAAAATTCTTTTCTTTTTTATGATATTCTAATCAAATGTTTGTGTATATTTTGCCATTGTGAACAGTTGCTTGGGAGAGATTTGATAAAATACTCTCAAGAGTCAATGAATTTAGTCGATCTCGGTAGCGCATTTTTGAATTTGTTCATTTATGTTAGCTTATCTGATTTCAAAAAGCTACATTCCCAAGGCCTTTTGTTTTGAACTGACCCAAAAATCCAAGACCTTCTCTCCCGTTGAGCCTGAACAACGAGAAATCGTCGAATCTACTAAAGGTTCACACGAAGGGGCCCTTTTCTTTCTTCGTCTCATTCAAAATGTTAGTTATCAGACATGAAATAGAATTCCGAATCTGTTTTGAAAAACGCGATCCCTTGGAGAGGTAACTCGCGGATGTGGTAATTCTCCAGTGCGCTGACTGCTGCGTCGATGCACGACTTTAAATAGTCAGTTTGGCAAACGTCGAATTTCATTTGTGCAGACTTTAATGCCATATATTGATCAGAGGTGAATGATTGGAGCTTCCCGAATGACAGTACATATCATAGGCTACCCAACTATTGCTTGAGAAAAGAATGAATGCGCACGTTTATATTATGTTATCGAATCGGTGCGCGCTGTGGATTACCTGTGTTATTACGTCATTGTTCACGTGCCTCGCGGAATACAAACTAGTCTGGCACAGACTTGTTTGTATCCCGCGAGGCACGGGATCGTGACGTAATACCACAGGTAATCCGCATTTCACTAAGAGCGCGCGGCGATACTAGCGTAAAAGCCTGCGCATTCATTCTTTTGTTTCTCTCAAGCAATAGAGCGGATTTCGTATGAGTGGGAAACGGACGGTACTGTACTGTGTCCGTAATCGCACTGTAACCAAATTCTCGTGCACCATTGGTTCACCAAAATTCTGCATGCCAGGTGCGGTRACTGTGCRGTAACCGYGCGGTAACGGTGTCCSACTCRWAYRMRAWMYSCKCT